TGAAAATCACTTGAGAAAAACTGAAGTGCAGATTTCCATGAGCACCAACAGAGAATTTGATTCAAGATTCCGAGAGGAGCCCAGAATTAACTCGGGGGGAGGGGGGATCCTAAGACTCCCAGGTAATTCTTTATGCGAGTGGTTCACACACTCCTGTTTGAGAAACATCGACTGGACCTAAAAGTCTTTATAATGCTCAGATTTTGGAAATTGAGTAGAGAGGCAAGCACCGCATGAAGTTATTAATTTGAACGCGTGGTGGCAGTACAGGCTAAGAGACTAAATCTAAGCTCTGCAGATCCGGTGGACGCCATTTCACGGAGAAACCCAAGAAAAAATACTGAACACATTTAAGCTAAAGCCAAAATAGACGTGTACGGGAAGGCAGTCATCGCCAGAGAAGTTAAAAGAACGAATTTGAAACTCTTTAGCAAAGCCGTTTTGGAGGGTCGACGGTGGATGTGGTGATTGGGAGCGAAAAAGGATTTTTCCTCTGAAATCAGGCATAACAATAGAAATGGCACAGACAAAAGGACTTCGCAAGAAAAGGCAAGTGGTAACCTTCATTATATTGATGCTTTTGTGGGAGGCGGGTTCAGAATCCATACAATATTCTGTATTGGAGGAGACAGAGAGTGGCACATTTGTGGCCAACTTGACAAAGGACCTGGGACTCAGGACGGGAGAGCTGGCTGCGCGGGGAGCACGGGTTGTTTTCAAGGGGAACAGACAGCATTTGCAACTTGACCCACAGACCTATGATTTGCTGCTAAATGAAAAACTGGACCGGGAGGAGCTGTGCGGCGCCACTGAGCCGTGTTTGCTACCCTTCCAGGTGTTACTGGAAAATCCCCTGCAGTTTTTCCAGGCTGCCTTGCAAGTGGGAGATATAAATGACCACGCCCCGGAGTTCCCGGCCAGAGATATGCTCCTAAAAATATCAGAAATCACTGCGCCTGGAAAGATATTTCCTTTGAAAATGGCACAGGATTTAGACGTGGGTAGCAACAGCCTTCAGAGCTACACAATCAGCTCCAATTCTCACTTCCGCGTTCTCACCCGCAATCGCAGCGACGGCAGGAAGTTCCCGGTGCTGGTGCTGGACAAAGCGCTGGACCGTGAGGAGCAGCCTGAGCTCAGGCTAACCCTCACCGCGCTGGATGGGGGGTCTCCGCCCCGGTCAGGGACCATAGAGATTCAGATCTGGGTCTTGGACAGCAATGACAACGCCCCAGAGTTCGCTCAGGAACTCTATGAGGCGCAAGTCCCTGAAAACAGCTCCCTGGGCTCTCTGGTTATCACCGTCTCAGCGAGAGATTTAGATGCAGGATCCTTTGGAGAGGTATCTTATGCCCTACTTCAAACCGACGACGTTGACCAGCCCTTCGAAATAAACGCAATCACAGGCGAAATTCGACTGAGAAAGACATTGGATTTTGAAGAATTTCAATCTTATCACATGGACGTTGAGGCCACAGATGGCGGGGGACTATCAGGAAAATGTTCCATAGTCATCAAGGTTCTGGACGTGAATGACAATGCCCCTGAATTGGCCATGTCGTCGCTCAGCAGCGCCATCCCTGAAAACCTGCCAGAGACGATAGTGGCAGTTTTCAGTGTATCAGATGCAGATTCTGGACATAATCAACAGGTTATTTGTTCTATAGACGATAATCTCCCCTTTCTTCTAAGACCGTCGGCGGAGAATTTCTACACCTTGGTAACAGAAGGAGCGCTGGACA